GAAAATATTTTCAAGTTGTGAAACAATGAAAGGGGCTTTAAATTGATTCCAAACCTACTTGGAAGCTCGCGTTGAATGGTTAAATAAATGGAATTTTATGCCAGATGTACTTTGAATACGAATTTTAGATAAAATGGAAAAATTAACGGATGGAATGGACTGGCTCTTATAACCCACCAACAAAATGATAACTTTTGGAACATTGATACAGATATCCCTAACTTATTACACTCCAAAACACATGTATTAAAAAATTATAATTTTTAAATTAAAATTAAAGTGAAAAAAACTTAAAATTATAAATTTTAATAGTGAAACTAATAAGTGTTGATGGATGTTTTGAATTAGATAATGTACTAATCATTTTTTGAATTTTTATTTATATATATATAATTCTTGTTCAAAAATTGGTGTTGGGGGAGAATCTAATTTCCTGAGAAATGGTTACAACGCCAAACATGGGCAACCATTTTAGACTGGCACATTTCCAGGCACTTAAATTTATTAAAACGATAACCTTTTACATGCAATTAAAAATTCCAACCAATACATGAGAACGGCTTCTCAAGAGCGACAAAACCCTAGCCATCGCTTAGAAAGGATTTTCCTGCCACTTCCCTCGTCCTCATCGAGGATTTGTTGGTGGTCGATTTTTGGGGCTGCCTTTTCTGACTTGGTGCTGCCTTGTACGACTAGGTAGTGGCGGATTAAGAATGGGCGAATGGTATATTTAATTTGGTTCCTGAGAAATATAGCGAGGAAAGAGGACGGATGATAATTTTAGTTAGTCAAAATATAATGTTTAGAAATAGAAATGATACATATATCTTATAAAATTATACATTCTATTACACACTAATAATTTCTGTTATTTGTTTTATTAAGATTGATAATTTTCATTACTTGTACTGTTAAAATTAACAGTTTCTATTATATACTAACGAAAACGATAAGTATATAACAGCATATATAACTTTATAAAGTATATATATTATTTAGTTTAATTGTTTAAAAAATTCATCTTTACCCTTCTCTTATATTCCTTCAAACCAAACATATCCAAGTATAGGAACATTTTTTTTCTCTAAAAATTAAGAGTCTTCAACTTTTTATTTTCCCTTAAAATGTTCAGTTGGGCGTGCTTTTTTATTTTTTTTAATTTTTTGGGCCCATGTTATGGTCCTTGCCCAATCATAAATATAGGTATGTGATTGGGCATGTACCGCATTATATAAAATTTTAAATCAAGTTAATGGCTAGTCATATTTAATTGGGACAATAATTTATACATATTTTAATTTAACATATTACATAATATATTTATTAAAAAATTATTAATTTTTTATTTGAAATT